TATATAATATATAAAATGAACAGCAGTTACATTAAACAGTTCATTTAACAATCATACATACTGTCTAAACTATATTAACTTCAAGAAAAAACAATTTCATTTGTATTTTTAAGTCTTCTTCCACCCCTGATAATCAATAAAGGCCTTGCGACCCGTAATGGGGATCCCAATTGAAATCTGATTTTACCAGAAAGCAGTCAGGTTCATTCATTTGCAGCATAACACAACCAGAGGTACAGTTTGAACATATCAGCTGAATCTGAGCTCGAAAAATAACAAAATCCTGAGTTTATTTCCTCAAAACCTCAACGACAATAATGTATCTGCACTGTAGTCGCTCTGTTTGATCTGAGAAGAAGAAACAAGATGTTTTTTTCAGACCAAACACAAGCGAATACATTTGGGTATTCACCGACGTGAGTACTTAATATTCCTTAACTCCCAACGCTCACGTGAGGTCACGTAACGTCACGCTGGCGTAATGTGCTCTCGGATGCGGTGTCGGAGCATCCCTAATAACTTTACTGCACCGCACATTGTGGCCGCCTGTTTTCTTTCCGTATCTCCGACAGAATCCCTCTGGTTGCGTCCTAACGAGTCCTCGGGGGGGGCTGCGTCTCGTAGATTGTAAAAACGAGCCGCCGTGACGGACATGTGGTGTTGCGACAGGCTTCCTGCGGCCTCGGGGTGAGCAGCTTTTAGGAAGTGATTAAGGTTGCCTGCATTCGTCTCCAAGTACGACGTGAATGTGTGTTTTAAGTCAAATCCCCCTGCTGCTGTTTCTAAAGGATGGAGCCGGAGAAAGGGGATTCCTGGGGACTTTTTCCTGACTGATGCATCCTCCCTCTCTTCTACCACGCAGGGAGAAAGCCGGCACAGAAGTACCACAGAGGCTCGTTACTGCGTCGATAACAGCAGGAAATAGACCAGGATGCAATGCGGCAGCCAGGTTGAGTTTTTAAGCGAGGGCTGTGATTGCCTCGGTGTTTACAGAGGAGTTGTACCGCTAGTAAACCCACTCTACGAGCAGCTGAACCTTTTACTGAAAGCGACTGACTCCGGGTGTTATCAGGAGGCGTTCTGGGAAGTGTAGGAAAGGCACGCTCACAATACAAAGTATGACATTGCGTCCAAATTCCAGGAAGAAGCCAGCAGCTGTTGTCTCTCTGTAACCTCGCTGCTGTTATTCCTCCGGGCAGGGCTGAATCAATATACCTTGAGGGCGGAGCCGGTGTACCTGTAGGCAGCTCGTGTGTGGATGTTACTGCTGAGACTGTGGATCACCCAGTGTCTCCAGACTACCTGCACATAATGCTCAGTCTTGGGTCTTTTGCAACACTTGTTTGTGCGCTTGTCCTGCTGTTTGTCTTTTGTCGTCTGACGGTGTGCAGTCAGTCGTGTAGACGTAGTTCACTCAACCAGGGAATAAGGGCAAACTGTTTCATTCAGAGCTTCCTTCGTGCTTTAAAAGAGTAAAGATTTCAGTGTAAGATGCTGGGGATGAACTACGGTCAGTGAGATCAGTGAGCCTGTCCGCTGACGTGGAAGTGGGTGTGTTTGTAAGTTTAACTCTCATAGGTTGGCCCACTGAATAAATGCTGTTTGAATGTTGGACTTTAACTGCATAAAGTCTATTTTTAGTGTTTCAGGCTGTTTTCTCTTTCTCTTGTCGTGTCCTCCGTGCCAGCTCCGGCTGTGCCAAGCTCCTGTGTCTGCCAGAATGAGGAAGGTGTCCTCAGGTGAATGACGCAAGGTGAAGTCACTGTCATAATAATGCTGACAGTGGAAGATTTTTAGTGTTCAAACTGGTGTTTTTTATGCTGTCCACTATCTCTGGATGAATTCAGCTTACACATTATGGCTGTGTTTTGTTCTGTGTTTTTAATAAACTGTGTCTTCCTCCTTTTTGTTTGTATTCATTATTACTGGTCGACTGTTTCGCAGCGTTCCCGTTGACAGTAAGTGAAAGGTTCAACGGTTCTCGGACGGGTCTTAAGTTACTCTCCCAGAATGCAGTGCAACTCAAGGCTCTGCTAATTGCAGCTTTCTCTTCCTGTCGGATATCTCCTGCTGGCAACACCAGCCTTTTCCTGGCCTTGGTTTCTGTGTGTGAAATAGATACGGAGAGAGGGATCATCTGAGGAAACCACTCTCGGCTTTTAACCGGTCTAATTTGTTATCCCTTCACTTTCCCATTAACTACTCTTCACCTTGTCTCCTCCTCCTCCCTCTATCCCATCACCTTTCTCCTTCTCCCTCTCTCTCTGTCTCTCTCTCTGTCTCTCTCTCTCCTGCGTCTCCAGATATCAACCTGAACTCTCCTAACAAGGGTCTTGTTGTGGATCACACAGACAGCCTGTCCGACGTGCCGGTGGAGGGAGCGGTGGGGAACTCGGCCAACCCTCTTCCTCCCGGCCTGACAGAGGAAGAGGCTGAGGAGCTCCGCACTGAGCTCACCAAGGTAGGGCCCAGATGATCAGGTGTTTCCATTTAATTATAGGCTGCAGTAGTAACGTGTGCTTTGCGGAGACCGTAGAAAAGCACCCTTGCAGTGAAATCAGAGCTCCCTGAAGCTTTTATTTGACACAACACAAGTTTTCTCCTGAGGAAGACCTTTGCTGGGTTGAATAAAAGCTTACGGGAGCTCTGATTCCAGTTTGTGGGTTGTTGTTGACTTACAAAGAGTGCCTTACAGTTATTTAAAAGTGCCAAAACATCGATAATTGTTTACAACATTCAGTGGTTACAGCTACACAAAGACCGGCCTTTGTATACCTGACCCTTCCTAAATTTAGTAGTAGTACTAAAGTAGATGTGCTTTGTGCTAGGCTCATCTGTGTTGGAAAGACAGGCAAGATGCTTAAAATATAAAAGCAACATATAATTTGTAGTCACACCTTAAGCAAAATGTTATCAAAACAAAAGCAAGCAAACTAGCTGAGTAACAATAATGTAAATTGTACATCGCTTTTATATTTTAACCATCTTCAAAATGCCACATGTTCTTTTCCACATTGACAAGTCTGGCACATAACGTATCGAAGTGCAGGTAAGGAGAAAGTGATTGGAGCAAACAGTCAATTGCTTCTGACTACCCTTATTTATTATTATAACAATAAAATAGTTTGAATTAGTTAATTTACCTCTTTATTTTTACTTTAATTGTATAACTGTAAATGTCACATACTGTGTTTAAATGTGCTCTATAAATACATTTAACTTTGCTTCTTAAGGCGGATTAATGTCATAACTGTTGACATTTTTATGGACTAGATAAATAACACGCCCTTGTCAACGCAGACATGTTGGCATGTGATAACGGGATAAGTGCACCTGTAATTATGACGATGAAGGCTGCTTTCCATTCAGATAAGGCCTCAGTCTGTAGCTGTACAGGACGTAAATGGATTTAGACACTTTAGGCACTCCTGCAGAGTTAGAGCCATGGCAGCCTGACAGTTTGAGACTGTGGAATCGATCATAGAAAAAGGAAATGTTGAGAAACCAAAATGAGCACTGAGGGGCAAAAAAATAAGAGATTGTCTTTAGAGCAATGGGAGTCACGTGTGTTTCACTGTGCAATACCTATAAATCCTCTTTTGATAATCTATTAAAGATGGGAACTGCAGCCAGGTAGAGCCAGCCATGAATGAAAAGGAAGCCCCAGACTGATGGGTCTGCTGTGTTTTAGGTGGAGGAGGAGATCAACACCCTGCGTCAGGTTTTGTCAGCCAAAGAGAGACACGCTGCTGAGCTGAAGAGGAAACTCGGCCTCAGCCCGCTCAATGAATTAAAGCAGAACATCAGCAAGAGCTGGCAAGACGTACAGACCTCCAACGCGTAAGTATTAAATCATTTAAACACAACAGATGAGACAGAAATGCACCTGAAGTAGTCCCTCAAGTATTGTTTTTCTTTCTTGTCAGTTCCTTCAGTGATATATCAAGTTAAATATACACAACCAACTCGGGCTCGTTTGCTTGTGAACGTTTAATCACAATCTCCTGTAGCTTCCAATGTAGTTTCTCTCTCTGAAAATCTGAAACACAATCACATTTGTATTTATTACATACTACTAAATATCTTGGACTTTGTTACTGGAAGGTTTATCAGATACCAAGAACTTTGCATTGCGGGTTTCACAACTCTGGAAAGTTATCAAGGCGACAATCATATTATCTTCCCTTTGGCGATAGATATTTTATCTCGGTTAAAAAATGACATCAGTACAGTACAAATGTAAATGCCTGTTTGGTTTAGGATATGGACAGAAAACTCTTGGATCATGTTTCAGATGTTCAGGCTAATTTAAAACAGGGAGCATTAAAAGAGAGTCATATGCAAACATTATACGAATGTTTTAGCAAGATGGACGGATAAACAAGGATAATAGATTCTTACTAATCCAGTTTGGTTTTAAGAAGCAGCAGAGATAACATTAGACTTTGAGAAATAACAGCCTTCTAAAATATGTCACTTACAAATGTTAAACATTTTTAGAACATTTTTTACCCCAAATGGTGCTGAGCAGCCCATTGAGATGAACCTTGGATCTGCACTTCCTGCAGGCGTTCTCTGACGGTAACTGCTTTATCAGAAAGAACTAGACACAAAGTGACTCATCCCGTGGTGACACATCCAGGCGTCTGAAGTCTTTAGATTATTTTCTGCAGAGGTTTACATTATAGAGGATGACTGCAAACCTTTTAAACAGAGGCTGCTTCCCTTGACTTCAGCAGAGGGTGAAGGCGCTGCATTATCAGACACAATAATCCTGTTTTTACAGTTACTGTGATCACGACTGTTAATCAAGCTAGTCGCAGTTGGGGAACAAATACTCTTCTTCAGCTTTTCATCTTTTTAAAACCAGCAGCTGCTCTGTTTGAAATTAAATTTGATGCTTTAACATCATCACATTTCGCCGGTTCATTTTAGTCACGGAAATGGTTAAGATATGATTACACATGATTAATTAGCAGCTGTAGTTATTGACTTCAGCAGGAGGCGTTCACACAGGGTGATTCGAAGAACATGAAACAAACTTTCTCTGTAAAATGATGCTGCTGAAACTCATTGTTGTTTTATTTCAAAGGGATTCATGAAGTGTCTCCTAACTCTTTATTTAATCTTACATTTTAAGTCGCCTCATTTAGGAAGCAAGTACAACATTCAGCACGTTTCTATATAGAATTTGGTATAACGTAGTCTGTTATCTTTATTTGTATTTTGATAAATATAAACCTCATTAGTTTGAGGATTAAACAGGCTTGTGAGACTCTTGAATGGCTCTTGGCTGAAATAACTTTTTTAGATTTAAACTTTGTCACTTACAATATATATCATATGTCAATCATCTGTGCTGTGTTAAATTAATAATCAGGTAATTTGTTGGTTGTTTTTATAACACTTTTATATCCCTGTTACAAATACGTCAATGTATATGCTAACAAAATGTATCAAATATTACCCCGGAAATGCATTTGTACGAGATACAAGATCGCTGCGATCAAGACGAATATCAACACATTTATATTGACAGTACATTTAACTCTGTCACACATTAACTGACCCAACAAAAAAAATAATGTCCAGTATTAAATATTATGAGGCATTAATTGGCATGTACAGTAAAAGCTCCTGTTACCAAGTCAGACAAACAAGGGAGAAGATGTTAGATTTTTCTATTTAAGGCTTCAGTGTGCCATCCTCTATCAATCATTTAAAAGGTCAAGAGTTTGCCATTAGTGGTGAACGGGGCTGCCGTTTGTACAAACCTCTTGCTGAATAATGTTCACACTGAAAGCCTTAGTGATCAATTCAGATTTCTTGCTCAGATGTGACTTTTTTTGGTCGGCTGTTCACATTGTTTTTGGCCCATATCAGATTACACTGTAAACAGACCATGGTCCCGAAGTGGCCTGCATGACAAATGTCTATGTAGAGCGACATCAAAGTCAGATGAATTCTGATATGATTGAGGTTGCATTGCAAAAGATCCGACCTGTACCTGAGTTGGACCACATATGAAAGTGGCTCAAATCAGGATTGAAAAGATCAGATTCCATGTGGTTTGTGCTGTTCACACTGTCATATATGAGCAAAAAAAAATCTGATTTGGGCCCACTTGTGCCTGCAGTGTGAACGCAGCCTAACAGGGCTCGACAATAAGGATTGTCCGATTAAGTAAACCTAAGTAAAACTTAGTTTTTTCCGTACATGCGCAGTACAGATTAGGCGGTGGGTAAAGACAAAGTTTTGCATGGCACCTAAGAGTGTCTTTGCGGCTATTTGATAACTACTAATAAGTTAAACAATTTGTATAGGGGCAAGTCAAAATTTAATTCAAGCAAGGGAAAAAAAAAACATCAACGTTGAACCCTACTACAAGTTTTCTCTCAGAGAACGCAGCCTTATGAAATGACTTTAGTAAATCTGTGACAGCCTGAATTTTGATCTTTATGATGGCAAGGAAAAAAGAGAGTTAAAGGACGATAACATAACTATTTACTTTGTTACTTTGACCATGTTTGATCAGTTGTAACTTAATCCAAACCATTTTTGGGGGATTTTCTAACCCTGGCTTCCTCTTTGAGCCAGCTTGCTTTAAGTCCATGCTTAACACCCTCATGTCTCTGTTTCTAGCTATGTGAGAACCACTGAGAAACTGGGCGAGTGGAATGAGAAAGTTACCAGTTTGGAGCTGTGAGTCCATGCACTGTTTGCTGCTCGCTCAACGGTGATGTCTGGGCCTTCTGCTGTGTTTGCTCTCTCACGCTCTGACTTTTACTCACTCAAACACTCTGAAACCTTCACACCTTCTAACCATGTTTGAGAACACTTACATTTCAACAGTTGCTGTTTAACTTCATGTCTTTTAGGGGGGGGGGGACAGCCATTTATCTGTAGTCTGTTTACTCTGTTTGTTCATGCTTCCAAATAAGTGTGCATTCATCTGCTGAACTTTATTGGAGAAAGTGAATTGTTTTCTATTTCAGGTATGATTGAGCTAAACTGGAGCGAGACAGAGTTTAGCAGTAGTTGCTGTAATTGTAATAATGTCTTACATTTTTATACATAATGGATTTGCTGGTTTCTTAGCAAGTGTCTTTGACCTTGTTCGTGAGCTTTTCTGAGTCTGAGGAACCTACGTTGATGGATTCAGGTTCAGTACTCCTGCTGCCGTCAGGATTCTGTTGCATGTGGGGCTCGACTTGTAGCACCGAAGTGGGATTTGACGTGTGTCTCAGTTCTAACCACTGCAGCCTGAGTTACATAACTGATTCACCTGAATCTGTGTTTGTCCACTGTGGCCTCTGACTCACATCTTAGTGTTTGATAATCAGATTTTTTTGAAGGTGCTGCTGTAGGTCGAGACGGTTCGGTTTGAGACGTGGCAGGATTTCTTTAATGAAAGTAGAGCTACAGGACTAATGTATGTAACTAGGAATACAGATCTGTCACTTTTTCCTCTTTCTGTTATCATATATCATTCTCTGTTTGTTTACAGATGGGTGACAAATTAAAGGAAAAACCAACATAAAGTCTTAATAATGTGTTGCCAGAATAGCTTCCATGCACCTTGGCATTGATTCTACAGGTCTCTTACCGTTCCTCCAAATTATATTCGCTCATTTGTTCTTTTAATGATGGTGGTATACAGCGCTGTATGGCTGTACACCACACACTCGCCCACTTAACAAGAATATGGTGAATGATGACTCATCTGACCGTATCACTTATTTCCAGGTCTCTGCAAACCAGAGCCTATGGTTATTTTCAATTATACCATACAGTGCACTTGTGTGGAAGCATCTGCATTCGTTATGTTTCTCCACTCACTTATTGAGCTTTTCTTTTGATGTGTCACTCGTCTGCATATCCCTTATCTGTTAGTTTTCTTTCTTTCTCTTCAGTTTTCTGCCTCTACCTCCTTCCTATCAGTGTCACCCGTCTGTTGTTTTACTTCCTCTCACAGAGGTCAGGTGTCCTCTCTTCCTCCACCCAGAAGTGATGACACATGTCCTCCTCTCTACTTCCTCTCCAAATCTTTTGTATATTTTCAGCTTTCTCAGATGCTTCCTCTCTGCTTTTATTACCAGTGGCCAAGCTGAAGACTGACACGACTGTCTGATTCTGTTTTTGTCTTTTTTGAGTTTGTTACACAAAAAGAGAAAATCACATCTGTGAGATGAGGGTTGGAGTCGAGGAGTTCTGTGCACAGAAAGGTTAAGAATGAAAAGTTGAGGCTTTGTTGTAGTATAATCAGACCACCCAATGGTTATTTAGCTTGTCTGGCAGCCTTTTTGTGTTTGTTTATCTAGATGCCCTAAATTGACCATTTTATGTGTCGAAAATCAGACTGTTAAAGCCATACACTGGTAATGGTTGCCCATGACATAATGATTTCAGCCTGTGGGCTCATTGGCTAAATCAATTGGCACACAATGGAGAAACAGAAATCATGTAATGATATAATGAACAGTGTTGATCTGATGTCAGATCTAGCCAGTGAATGAAGCAGTGACTTGCAACCATTAGTAATTAGCCATCTTTATGAGTAGATTAAGATACCATGGGCTCCTGGCCACAGACATGTAAAACAAGTTCTGCTTCATGATGCTTATTGTTTTGTTTTGCATCTTTACAATGAAATGTTCCAGGTTACCAATAACTCTAAAGTGCTGAAGTTGGTTAATAACTGAGCCTGAACAGTATTCTGTTCATGTTGGAGATAGAGAGTCTGTTCAACTCGTTTTTTAAAGCCACCACAGAGCCACACTGACACGCCTCACCATAAATACTTGTACAAAATACTATAGGACAGCACTTTGGTCAACTTTGGTT